CACCTGAGTTGCAAAAGCAACATGAGGGTATGGATGCTTACACTATGATTTTTCATCTCAAGGAATTGTATGATGAACAATCACGTGTGAAAAGATATGAGACTTCCAAGCAACTGTACCGGTTAAAAATGGCATAAGGATCTTCAGTCAGTGCTCATGTGCTGAAGATGATTGGCTATATTGAAAAGTTTGCTCAATTGGGTTCAATAATGGACCATGAACTAAGTGTTGACTTGGTTCTTCAATCTCTGCCAGAGAGTTATTCACAATTCATCATGAATTTCATTATGAATAAGCTTGAATGTACACTCCCTGAGTTGCTGAACATGCTTAAAAGTGTGGAGCCCAATGTCAAAGTTAGTAGTGGGCATGTCTTAGCCATTCAATCCTCCAAGGGCACTAAAAGGAAGATTAAAGGAAGTTTTAAGAAAACATTCAAGAAGGCTAAGAACAATTTCAAAACAGTTAAAGCAAACAAGGACAATACCAAATCTGATGATCCGTGCTATCACTGTGGAGTGAAAGGTCATTGGAAAAGGAACTGCAAGGCTTACCTCACAAGCTTGAAAGGAAAGAAGTCTTCTGAAGCTTCTTCTTCAGGTATACTTATTATCGAGGTTAATATGTCTACTTCATTAGTTTCTTGGGTATTAGATACCGAACATGGATCTCATATTTGTATAAATATGTAAGGACTAAAGAAAAGTAGACCACTGTAGAAAAGAGAAGTTGACCTTTTTCGTGGGGAATGGAACAAGAGTTGCTGAACAAGAGTTGCTGCATTAGCTGTAGGAACATACTTCTTACCATTACCTTCGGGCTTAGTATTAGAATTAGAGAATTTCTATTTTGTTCCCGCCATTACTAAAAGCATTATTTCCATTTCATGTTTGGACGTGAATGGTTTTTCAATTAATGTTAAGAACAATAGTTGTTCCCTTTATCAAGATGAGATCTTTTATGGTTGTGGTGTTTTGTAAAATGGCATTTATATTCTTGATACTGAGTCGTCTATCATGAATATAGAAAATAAAAGGCATAAGAATGATAATCTAAATAATGCCTATCTTTGACATTGCAGACTTGTCATATAAATGAGAAACGCATATCCAAGTTACATAGAGATGGATACTTGGGGTCAAAAGAGTTTGAATCATTTGACAAATGTGAATCATGCCTATTAGGCAAGATGACCAAATTTCTTTTTACTGAAAAAGGAGAAAGAATTGCACATTTATTGAGGCTAATACATACTGATGTATGTAAACCCATGTCAATCACTGCTAGAGGTGGTTTCTCTTACTTCATCACATTTACTTATGATCATTCTAGATATGGTTATGTTTATCTGATGAAGTTCAAGCATGAAGCACTTGAAAAGTTCAAGGAGTTTAGGCTTGAACTAGAGAAACAAACAGGTAAAAATATTCTCACACTGAGATCAGATCTAGGTGGAGCATATTTAAAAGGAGAATTTTTAGATTATATGAAAGATGGAATTCTCTCGTAGTGGACTCCGCCATATATACCGCAACATGATGGTATATCTGAACGGAGGAATCACACTTTATTAGATATGGTGCGATCAATGATGAGCCATGCAAACCTCCCAAATTCGTTTTGGGGTTATTCACTAATTGCTGTGTGATACATACTAAATCGTGTCCCATCTAAATTCGTTGACAAAACTCTATACGAGTTATGGAAGGGTAAAAGGCCCAACTTATCTCATATGAAAGTTTGGGGTTGTGACACTTATGTAAAGCGTACTGAATCGGATAAGCTTGAGACTAAATTTGATAAATGTGTATTTGTGGGATATCCAAAAGAGACTATTGGATATTAATTTTATAATCTCGTTCAGAAGAAGGTGTTCATCTCAAGACATATCATATTCCTAGAGAAAGAGTTCATTCTAGGAGAGGGCAGTAGGAGCAAATTAGAACTTGAAGAAGTTTGTGAATGCACAGAAATTGTTGACCAATTAGATGAACTTGAGTTTGATCCCACACCTGTTGAGGGACAAACTTTTGATCAGGACATAGAAACTCCTGAGAACACTCCATCTTAGCGTAAGTTAAGTAGGACCATTTGACTTCCTAAAATGTACGAATTCACGATTACTAATCAAGTATTATTAATCAAGGATGATGAACCTATTAATGAGATAAAACTTATATGTTGACTCAAAGAGATGGTAGGAGGCCATGGAATCCGAAATGAACTCAATGTATGAAAAAAAAAGGTATGGACTTTGGTTGACCCTCCTGATGGGATAAAACCCATATGTTGTAAATGGGTTTACAAGAAAAAGGTCGACGCAGATGGAAACATCCATACATACAAAGTAAGGCTAGTAACAAAAGACTATAAACAAAGGCAAGGTGTTGACTTTGATGAAACATTTTCTCCTATAGCCATGTTGAAGTTCATCCGGATTTTGCTTGCAATAGCAGTATATCATGATTATGAAATATGGCAAATGGATGTCAAAACTATCTTCCTTAACGGGAACTTGTAAAAAGAAGTTATATGACACAACCTGAAGGTTTTGAATCCAAAGAAGCCAACAAGGTATGCAAGCTTGACCGATCCATTTATGGATTAAAGCAAGCCTCTAGGAACTGTAATCTTCGCTTTGATGAGACAATCAAAAGGTTTGATTTTATTAAGAATGAAGATGAACCATGTGTTTACAAGAAGATAAGTGGGAGTGCTATCATATTCCTAATTTTATTATGTAGATGACATATTATTAATGGGAAACGACATTCTAATGCTTCAATTGGTAAAATTGTGGTTGTCAAAGAATTTCTCCATGAAAGACATGGGAGAAGCAACTTATATCTTAGGAATTAAGATCTATAGAGATAGATCTAAAAGATTGCTGGCTTATTCTAGTTTTCATACATAGATAAAATCTTGAGAATATTTAACATGAAATAATCCAAAAGAGGATTGTGTTCTATGTCACATGGGATCCATCTCTCAAAAGATATGGTCCTAAAACACATGATGAGAGGAATCGCATGGATAAGATTCCTTATGCATCAGCAATAGGATCTATCATGTATGAGATGCTATGTACGAGACTAAATGTTTCATATGTTCTAAGTGTTACGAGCAGGTTTCGAGCAAACCCTAGTGAAAAACATTGGATAGCGGTTAAGAACATTCTCAAGTACTTAAGAAGGACTAAAGATGTGTTCTTAATATATGGAGGAGATGAATTAAGAATTCGTGGATATGCTGATGCTAGCTTCCAAACTGACAAGGATGGTAGCAAATCTTAATCTAGATATGTGTTCACTCTCAACAACGGACCTGCTAGTTGAAAGAGTTCCAAACAAGAGTCTACCGCTGATTCAACAATAGAAGCCCAGTATATTGTTGCTTCTGAAGCAGCAAAGGAAGTCGTCTTGATCAAGAAGTTCATTAGTGAGCTTGGTGTTGTTCCTATCAGTGTTGATCCGATACTTCTGTACTGTGATAACAATGGAGTCATCGCATAAGCGAAGGAACCAAGGTCTCATTAACGATCCAAACATGTGCTGAGGCGGTACCATCTCATTAGGGATATTGTACAAAGAAATGACGTAAAGATAGAGCGAATTCCCATAGATGATAATATTGTCGATCCATTGACAAAGCCGTTGTCGCAGTATAAGCATGATCGTTATGTAGACTCTTATGGTATTAGATACATAAGTGATTGGATCTAGTGCAAGTGAGAGTTTGTAAGTGTTATGTCCTACACCCAATCAATTTAGGTTGTAAATACTTTTATACGTTTAATGCATTTAATTCTGGCAAGATCTATTATTTAGTTATATTACTTTCTATTGAAATTATATTAAATAATAGAATCCGTAGATTTAAGTCTTTGCAATTTGTTAATCACAAGAAGTTGTGATTATGAGATACAAATTACAATACGACTGAATCTTAAATTATCCGTGGTCGAAGTGATAACAAGATACAAATATCGTTATTACGGATAGATCATCGTGTGTGACATTTCTTACTTGCGAAGTAGCTGATCTCACAATCCAAAGTATCTTGACGCTTAAATGAACATATGAATATTTTGTTATAGAACAGAATATTGGAGACCCTTTGGGAGATTCCACATGGATAACTATCTGAGTGTCAGTGGTTAATCTCTAACATTCGGTAGTGGAATTGGTCATTTGACTTGAGGTCATCATAGTACCTTATATGAGGATAGTCATACTTTGATGATATTAGATGTTGATCTGCAGAGGGTCGCTAATACAACATTGTTCAAGTATGTCAAGAATCACATGAAGGTTGTGAATGATCAATAGATGATTCGTCACTCTTAGATATTAAGAGATTATGATCTACATTCTATCCAGTTAAGTTGATAATGAAATCCTTAGCCAAGGTGAAATCATAAGTCGAAAAGGAGTTCTCAACTTACATTGACTTAACAGTAGGATAAAAGATATGATCGATAATTGAGATTAACACATATACATATCTCGTAATCGATTGGATCATAATGACGAAAGGATTATAATTTCACGATAAACGAATAATTTTGGTTTTGTCATACCACGTGACATTTCCCGTCACATGTATTGTCCTGACACACATTACTACACGTCAATCTGGGACGACAAATGTGAATTAACGATAAATTAAAAAAGGTGTTTTAATTTATCGACTTTGATTAGATCAAATAATAATTCACGTCGTTATGTATCGTGATTGGGAACCTAATGGGTTATACACTAAAGAGAATTAGAAGAATGAGATTCACCAATTAATAATTGGGTTGTTTATTAATAGGCCCGAATTAATTATTAGGATTAATTAATTCATGGACCAGATTTAATTAATTTGATTAATTAAATATTGTACTGGGTTAAGTTTAATAGATGTGCAGAGCCCTGGAATTGAAAATTGTTTTATTTCCATTGTCCATGATTAAGTAAATTCTCAACAAGTGCTGGTGATGAAGATCAGCCTAAAATATGTTAAGCTCAACTACATTTGGGGAAACAGATACAGATGTTAAGTGTGGTGAAACTCATGTTGATGATCATGTTGGTGGACATGTGGGGAGTGAAGTTAATGGTGATTATGTTGGTGGACCTGGGGAGGAGGGAAAGTACATGACCACATTGATAAGGTACATGCATATGAATTCACGAAGAGGCTAAAATAGATGAAAAGGTCGAGACTATGATAGAACAAAACGAGGGAGTAATGCTATTTATTATTATAATGATGAAATATCGATGATGTGTATGTGGAATAATAAGGTATGATAATTCAATTTTCATGAGAGAGGGGATTGAATTGTTCTATCCCATTATTCCACCTTAGTCGCCACGTAATAAATAACACTATTCAAATTAGGGAGGTCAAGATGATGATGTACCCATTGCGGATGAAGATGATTAGCAGGTGCATGATGCAACCTCTACAGGTGAAAAATGTGAAATTTACAAAAGGTTTGAGACCTGCTCTTAACTCATTAAAATGTTTGGGACCTCATTTGCAACTAGTGTAAAATGTTTGGGACTTCCCTTGCGACTTAAAAAGGCTTGGGACTTCATCCGTGACTTATGAAAAAGGTTTGGAACCTGTATTGCATTTTTTCCTGAAATTTTTTGCATTTGTTTTGTATTCTAACTCATTCACTCAGCAAATAAGGGAAAAATTGGAAAATGAAAAATATGGAAGCATTGCTAAATAATAACATATTTTATTATTAGAAAATAGGTTGCAGGACCAGAGACCACATGATTTTTAACTCAGAAACTCACATCCTAAAACACAAACGCAACATATGAACTTAAACCTAACCCATATCTAGTTAGAGACCTATTTCACACAAACTCCACACACGATTCCAATTGAGCCTAGTCTTCTATGCACTACGATTTCTTGAACATAGGTTTTTTGTTTCGGCTTTCATCTTCCTCCTACTCGTAGAAATTTAGGGATAAGCTCCTTCGATCTGCCACACATTGAAGGGTCTCACTAGTTAACGAAGTTACATCTCATGTGCAATTGATAAATCTTCTTCTTGAGTTCAAGTTTGTCCATGAAATCTCCATTTGCATACAGTAACCACATTTATTGACATTTATCTACATATCCGTTCAGAAATTTTTCTGATAGTTGCTGAAAGAGAGATAAGAATAAATAGGGTAGAAAATGGATGAACATAAACAGTGATATGAATAGCGGATGATGGAAATTATGGGATTAATAAAAATACCTTGTTTAAAATGGTCAAAATATACAATTTTTGTATTTTTTTCAAGTCAACCGACGTTGGAATTGACATTTTCCGTCAAGATGGACTTCAGTTGCTGATTTATCCAAATTTGAGACTTTCGTTAGCACAAATTGAAGATTAAAATAAAGTTTGCTAACAATTTAAAGGTTTGTTACCGCCGCAAATGTTAATGAATTTTGGAAGTGCGACTGCAGTTGGAACTTGGATCCGATGTCACCAGGAATCGGGAAATGATCCAGCAGCGGAGAGTAGGGGTCCACAGCCAACTCCCAAACGGGTCCCATCCCAGGAAAATCCAGTCAAGGCATGCCACGTCCGTTTGACATTCTGTAAAGCGTGCACCCTCACATCAAATCCCACTGTCATCTAAAAAGCAAAACACACAACAAACCCACTGTGCCAAGACTCCCTTCACCACTTTCTTCTTGTGATTCTTCGCCGTTGCCGGAATCGAACTCATTTAACGGCTAATTTTGTCGCCGGAGAGTTCAAATTTCAAGTAACCACTCATTTTATATTGTTGTATGTATAATTATAGTAGCATTGATTGTGTAGAGTTTTGGTAGTGGGGTTTGTATTAAAGATTTCAACTTGAAGGAGAAGGATAATAGAGAGATGTACGTGGTTCCTCCTCCGAAGAGGCCCGATCCGCTATCCGGATCCACTGATGGGTCGGATACCCTCCGGATTTACCAGACTTGGAAAGGCAGCAATGTGAGTGCTTCCTTTTTCTTATTTCTTTCAAGGGTTTTGTAGTTGATGATTATTATCCTTCATTAGACATTTTTTCTATAATAAATTCTCCATTCATTAGAGTTTGTGGTGCTAGTTTGCACTGGGTGGAAAGAAGTTTAATTTGAGGAAAACAAAAGCGAAGAAGAAAAACTTGGGCAAAGCCTTGATTTTTATCTTATTACATTTTATTTATTAACAGTTGAGGCATGGTATAATTAATTTGGTCGAAAAAGAGGTTTTTTATTCAATATGTATGGGTTTATTGAAGTAGTGTTATGGCTTGGTGAAATCAGAAATGTCTGAATGGGATAAATGAGGGATGGTTATTGTTAAGGTTAACTCCCTTTGTCAGGGTATTAATTAAATGTATGCATAGCATCTGTGAATCCGGCATTAAATTGCAAACATGGCTTTAGTAAATCAAAGTTCATTATGATTGAAAAGTAGGACATCTTTTTTTCTTCAAGGGATGTTAGTTTTGTCTCAATTTATACATTTCACTACAGCAGTTAAATACTCAAGAATCCTGATTGGCTTGGGTTTAAAGGTATAGTTTCTGTCTTGAATCAACTTGTACTGTGGTTTACTTCTATATAATTTTGTTTTCTAGTATTAAGGAGCACAATTACATATAAATTTAAGATTGATATTTGCGCATCACCCCAGTTTAGATTTTTCTGGTGTTAGGAATATCCTTCCCTGTGATATATAACAGGCACTGGGAAGAAATAGAAGTTGTGTGCTGAAATTTGATGTTGAATTCATTAGCCTGGAATTCATTTAGTCATGATTCATGAAGATGATTTTCTAATGCCTTGTCATGTATGGAGATTGCATAGTGTTCTTGGTTGTTGCTAAGTTTTTAATTGTTTGGTTACTTATCTTGTTGCAGAAATTTTTGCTTCAAGGAAGGTTTATATTTGGGCCGGATGCAAGGTCATTGGGGCTCACCATATTCCTGATTGTGGCTCCTGTCGTTGTTTTTTGTTTATTTGTTGCTAGAAAGTTGGCGGATGATTTTTCACACCACTGGGGAGCATCAATTATGGTTGTCGCCATTGTTTTCACATTTTATGTATGTCTCTCTTCCTAGCGACATTTTTTGGTCTATTAGATTTTTCAATTTTGTAATCGCTGTGCAATTTCAATTTTAAATTCCTTAGGTCGAATATCTGTATCAGCAAACTTTATTCATCGAGGAGGACACTGTTTAATGCTGCTATTCATATTTAGAGTTTTTAACATGCTCATTATTTTGAGGAGCTCAGTTAGGTAGGGTAGAGTAAAATGACAAGGATGAGTACACTACTCTTCAGTTAGGTAGTTTTGAGCTGTGGTGGGAGTTGGAAAAACGTGAGGTAGCTTTGGCCTTTACGTTTTACGTAATATAGATGGTGTGATGATTTTTTTTTTTATGAACTTCTCCTCGTCTTTATTGTTTGGTCATCCTAAATAGGCCTTTGGGAGAAATATTATGTGGTGGGTGGCTCAGAGGTTTTGATAGAACCCTTTCTGCTGCTACTCCACTATGGAAATTCCCTGCTGCTGCTAATCTGGTGGACCTGTGATTCAGCTATCTAATAGTTGATTAGGCACAATATTGTGATGGAAGAATAACTAAAGTGATTGTAATGTATAACTCTTTATTGAATTGAATTGAAGACTGAAATAAATGATTGGTAATGAGAGAATAGAACTAAATTTGAACAGAACAACTCCAGGCAGTTTAAGAGACCGGATCTCTCCTATTTCCTAACTGAATATCAGTGCAAAGAATACTCTCGCAGAACCCCCCCCCCCNCCCCCCCCCCCCCCCCCCCCCCCCCTCATAACATTTATAAGCATTCCCCTTCTATAGCACTATTACCCATTCGCCTCCTGCTAACTTACTAGGTGAACATTCTGGAATATTAGTTGGCCTAGCAGCCCTTTTTTTCCTTCTTGCATATGTGAACTTGATTGGGGGTCTATCATTAGTTGTCGCTCTGAAATTCACCTTGTCCTCAAGGTAGAAACTAGGAAACTGCTTTCTGATTGTTTCAAAGGGCTTCCGGGTCGCTTCAAAATCAGGTGGGTTCTTTCATTTGATCAGAATTTATGGGCCAGATGATGTGTTGGTAGGATGAGGTCGAACCCCTAACACGGCTTCTGGCTCCAAAATGAATTCCCCAGTATCAGTAGTTGTGGTGGTAGTGTTGGTATAGGTTGTAAAGTTCCAATGGCTTTGCGGAGTTGATATAAGTGGAAAACTGAGTGATTAGATGCAGTTGAGGAAAGTTTCAGTTTGTATGCAACCTGTCCCACTCTTGACTCCACTTCAAACGGTCCATAGTTTGTAGGAGACAACTTTTTATACGGTCTCTTAGGCAAAGATTCTGACAATAGGGGCGAAGCTTAAGATATACTAATTATCCTACCTCGAATTGAATCACGGCGTTGCCCATCTGCAACATGTTTCATCCTCTGCTGTGCTCTAGAGAATTGTGATTGAGTTCCTTCAAAATTTCATCCTGATCTAACAACAAATGTTCCACGGAGAAGCTAGCGGTCAGCCCTTTTTCAAATGGTAGTATTAGGGGTGGATCATGGCCTTAAACGATCTGAGAAGGGGTGTGTTTGGTTGCCGTATGGAAGGACGTATTATACCCAAACTCAGCCCAAGGTAAACATGGACTCCCTATTCTCGCCCGCTTGACGCAAAGCATCTTAAATGTCTCCAAGCACTAGTTTACCACCTCCATCTGAACATCAGCTTGTGGATGGTATGGATAGGGCAGTATTATGTTTGAGTACGCGATTCCCTGTGCTTTGAACAATTCAGCCTAGAAAGTGCTTATGAAAATTTGATCCCTGTCACATATAATAGAGTGAGGCATGCTATGTAAGCGAACTATTTCTTGAACAAATATCTATGTGACCAAGGGAGCGCTAAAGGGGTGCTTCAAGTCGATGAAATGCTCATATTTACTTAAACGATCCATGATAACTAGAATAGTGTCCACTCCACTTGTCCGCGACAGTCCTTCAATGAAATCAATTGAAATATCCTCTCCTATTAACTTCGGAATCGACAAGGGCTGCAACAGACCATTAGGGGACAATACCATATATTTATTTTGTTGACATATCGCGCATTTTTCACATATTCCCGCATTGTTTTATTCATTCCCTGCCCGTAGACTTCACGTGCGACCCACCGTAAGTTTTAAGAAACCCTCAGTGGCCTCCCACCTTAGTATCATGGCACTCTTGCAACAAGAGAGTGACAAAAGGGGATTGGCGGGGAAGAAGAACCCTTCCCTGATAGCATTAGATTCCCTCAATCAGCGCATTGTAAATTTTGTCGTTGACCCCGAACTGTATGTCAGAATGTATTTTACCCAAAACTATATCTGCAACCACCTTCTTAATCTTCTGTAGTTGTAGAACCTTTGGAGTGGAGAGCTTCAAAAGATTCAATGCTGGTTGTATTTTTGAATGTGCATCCGTGGCCTTGTTCTCCAACCTTAGATGGTATTGGATGTCAAAATGGTAGCCCAACAGTTTAGTTTGCCATTTTTTATGATCTTTACTAACCTTATGTGTTCCAATAAAAATTCAAATTGTGTTGATCCATTCTTACCACAATATGGCTGCCAATTAAGTAATGACCCCACTTTTTGACCGCAAACACAATGGTCATCAACTCCCTCTCATATACTGATTTTCGCCTCGTAGTCTGAGGTAACACTCGACTGAAATACGCAATAGGATGGTGATTCTGCATCAATACTGCCCTGAACCTTTATCCGAAGCATTCATTTCGACCATGAATTCTTGTGCAAAATCAGGTAAGGCAAGTACTGAAATGTTTGTCATGGTTGCCTTAGAATTTCTGAAATGCGGTCTTCGCCTTGTCATCCCATCGAAATCCATCTTTTGTAAGTAGTTTGGTTAATGGCCAAGCGACCTTGGCATACCCTGATACAAAACGCCTGTAATATCCTATTTGTCCATGGAAACCATCGAAGTTGCCTAAGATTATGTGGACTGGGCCACTTGATCATTGCTTCAATTTTAGTATTGTCGGCAGCCACACCTTGTTCAGACATTATATTGTCGAGGTATTCAATCTCCCTTTAGCCGAACAAGCACTTCTTTCCATTAGCATATAACTTATGTTCTTGTAAAATCCCCAACACAATGCTCAAGTGTTGTTGGTGTTCTTTAGTTGACCAACTATAAATCAATACGCCATTAAAGAATGAGCATAAATTTTCTAAAGTATGGCTTGAACACCTCCTTCATCAAATATAGGAAGATCATCAAGACATTCGCCAACCCAGACTAAGAACTCAGTGACTTTCGTGAGTGCGAAATGCGGTTTTTGGAATGTCCTTTGGCCCTCACTCTGATTTGGTGATAATCAGATTTCAAGTAATCTTTGAAAACACTAGAGCCCCATGTAATTAATCTAGCAGCTCGTTTATCATTGGGATCGGGAAACGGTCAGGTACCGAAACTTTATTAAGTGCTCTATAGTCTACACAAAATTGCCAACTACCATTCTTTTTCTTCACCACAAAATTGGACTCGAAACTAACTGAGGCTATGCCGTATGATCCTCGTAGCTAGCATGTATTTGAATAGCTTCTCAATCTCATTTTTCTGTACACGTTTATCGAGGTTGCACCGGTTGTTAGATGATGACGTGGTCCTTTATCCTCAGAGGTGGAAGTTCGTTCGTGTAACGACTCGGCCTTTGTGCTCAAGCCGTTATATCGTAGTACAGTTCGCTTTGGGTGAGTATCTTCCCACTTACCCTCTAATGGCTTTATATCGCGTTCTCCAAAATTCGAACCCATGACTTTTCCCTTAAGTAAGACTTAAGTTGAATTTTGGTTCCAATTGGTCAAGGGTTTGAATCTTGGGGACACAATAGAAATCGGTGAGGGATAAGATAAATTTAGACTCTCATATAGCGGACAATACGTAAGTTAATGGTTTGGGCACATAAGTCGGCCTTTTTTGTAACGCCTTGATCTCTACGTTCAAACCATTATATCATACGTACTGTCTACTTTGAGTAGGCATCTGTCCACTTACCCCCTCCGGCTTTCTATCGAGTCTCTCAGGATTTGAATCAAAATCTCCGCCTATTAAAAGACTTAAATTGAATTCTGGTACCAATTGGGAGCCGCGAAGCTGTAAGCGAGAAGATGTCCACCCGAAGTGAATGGTACGTATGATATAACCGCTTGGACATAGAGATCGGGTCATTACAGTTTGGCCATTCAAAAACCTTATGATAACTCTGCAGCAACTCTTAACAATTATTGGGAACCTCATTTGCGGCATTTCTTGGTTCTATATCCATGCTCCCCAACTCTAGTAATACCTCAAGCTCCCTTTCCTTAAACTCCCTAACCATGGATTTCAATGACATCCGAGTCTTATCTAGACTAGGATTTCCTTGCAACATAATGAACTCCCCACTTACCTTAAAACGCATTGTTAACGTACCCAAGTTCACTTGCATGTCCCCAACGACTCTAGCCATTTCATTCTTAGAATCATATCCTACAACCCAATTGCAAAGGCAAGAAGTCATCTACTACGTCAACGTTTGGCAATGAGACCACCACCTCCTTTCATATGCCTCCACCTTTAAAAGATATCCCTATTCCCATGAATACCCTGTAATTGGTCATACCCATGATTCTCCAACCGTCGAACCAACTCATCGAAAATAAATTTGTGGATAGCTCCACAATCTATTAGAACTACCTCTTATTGCCCTAAAATTGCACCCCTTAGCTTCATGGTTTTCGGTGCGGAGAGTTCTATCACTGACTTAATGGGTAATTCAACCATATCGCCTATTACATCCCTTTCTTCCTCCTCGAAAACCTTTAAATGCTCATCAATTTCATCCTCTTGCACTACTAGCACTTGCAACTCTTGATTTTTGCGCTTGAGACCCGAACTATACTTGTCGCAGCAGTAACACAACCCTTTCTCCCCTTTCTTCTGCAGCTCAGTGTGTGTTAAGTCATTTAAAAGAACCCCTTTCATTGTTGTCGTCGGTTGTGGCAGTGTGAATAAGGTGGACTTTGGAATCGTAGCGAGGGCTTGGTGGGTTTGTGACGGTGTCTAGGTTTTTACGTTGGGAGAATTAGTGGTGATATTTGGGCTGCTAGTAACTGGGCTGGATCATGTTGAGCTGTAATTATAATTATTGGGTCTATATTGACCAGACATAGATTGGGCTCGTTTCAAGGATTTATTGTGGTCCTCGACCCGTTGGGCTAACTCCATGATTTGGCCCAATCCCTGTAGTTTAAGCACCCTCACCTCCGCCTTTATCGCCGGCCTCAAACCATTGATAAAGTTTCCCTCCATCACTGCCTCTGGAATTTTTGGCAAAGGAGCTTTCAATATTTCAAACATCCTCCGGTATTCCTTCACCGTGCCATCCTGCTTCAACGCCAAAAATTTCTCCAGAATTATTCCCCCTTGCAATGGTCAGAATTTATCTAATAGCACGATTTTCAAATCCTCCCAATTCCTTAACGGTTGCCGGCTATCTTCCCAGTGATACAAAGCCAATACCTCCCCTTCCCAACACACTGCTGCAGCTTTGATCTTTTTCCCAATTCATGAGTTGATTCATGTTGAAATACCGCTCAGCTCAAAAAATCCACCCATCGGGGTTTTCTCCATCAAACACCGGCATTTCCAACCTTTGACTTTGATTTTCCATTCTTCCTGATTCCTTCCGGCGCTTCCTCATCTCTGCACCCCCCCTTGGTCTACTGGGCTTTAATCGACCCGTCAGAATTACTAGACAGTTCTAGTGAATTGACTGCAATTCCCTTCTTTCTGCAGCCTTGTTCCTGTGCTCCCCACTTCTTCATCATAATGTCAAATTTCTCCAGCACCACAGACACGTCTCTCTGAATCTCAGATTGCATTCATCTATTCTTGTTTCCAGAAGTACCACTCGATCAGTGATTGTCATCTTCCCAGTGTAAATGCTCTGCCAGTTTGATAGAACCCTTTGCTGCTGCTACTCCATCGTGCAAATTCCCTGCAGCTGCAAATCATGTGGACCTGTGATTCAGCTATCCAGTAATTGATTAGGCACAATATTGTAATGGAAGAATAACTAAAGTGATTGTAAGGTATAACTCTTTATTGAATTGAGTTGAAGACTGAAACAATGATTGGTAATGAGAGATAGAACTGAATTTGAACAGAACAACTCCTGGCAGTTTGAGAGGCCGGATCTCTCCTATTTCCTAACTGAATATCAGTGCAAAACATGCCCCTACAGAACCTTCCCTATCACATATATAAGCATTCCCCTTCTGTAGCACTATTACCCATTTGACCCTTCTGCTAACTGACTAGGTGAACATTCTGGAATATTAGTTGGCATGACAGCCCCTTTTTTCCTTCTTGCGTATGTGAACCTGATTGGGGGTCTATCAGGTTTCCTTATTCAATTTTTTAAAGAAATTATATTTTTTTGATAGACTTAAGTTGCCAAATATATTTCCTCATCTCATCAAGAAGAGCCGTTACTGAACTATATATATCCATTAATAATTTAAGAGACTTTTGTGAATTATCATCTTGTATAGGCAGTTCTAATTTAAATATCATTGAAGATTTTATTTGAGGGCATCTAGTCATACTGGAAGTATTTGAAAAGAAAAATTGCATCTACCGTCTTGAAAAGTTCCACTGAAGAAGCTTGCCTTTTGCTTCTTCACTCCTTTGGTTCCTAGAGTTTCTGGATGTTTTAGTTGCTTGTTCTGCAGAAGCAGGAGCTACTACTAACCAACTTGTTTTATTTCTACTACAATCTTCCTTCTTTCTTGTTATCTCCTTCCAAGATACCAAATATCGCAACTTATTGAATAAATTTTAAGACCATCGAAGCAACTGAAGTAATGAGGTTTGTTTATTTTGGCGAATGATGCGCTTCAAATTATGGCATCTATACTGATTGTTGTAGTCCATTTATGCTTGATGAACTTCCTAATTCAGTGATGGACTCGCTGCTTAATAATGCTAAAGTTAATATTTAAGAAATTTTGGACAGGACATCTTGGGTTTGTTCTTTTATTACTAATTCCATCCTATCAGTCAAAAAAAAAAAAAAAATGGAAAAAAGCGGATATGTGTATTCATCAACTAACTGTACCTTTTTGAACTCATAAAATAGGTGTATATGGGCATGCGGACTACATGATTTCTAATAAGTTTAATTATATATATATATTCTATGGATGGTTATATTCTTCATTTTTTTCAAGAAAAAGGAAAGGGAGTGGAAAACAGTTAATTTTCTAACTTATACAAGAGGGGCTACGTGTATTCATTGACTAAACTAGTTTTACTGTGATTAGTGGGACTTTATATTGTAGCAAGTGGCTAAAGCCTAAACCTTAATACTGTTGCTGAGAGCCTAAAGTAACAAGTCATAGGGTCATGATGGAAGTTTATATGCTATGGTTATGCAGGGATAGTTGGTGTTGATTTTTTTCTCAACACCTAATGTTGATGCAATTAGAGAAATAATCTGTTCATTTGTTTTTCCAAGGAAAACCAAGGTCTTTACATGTTGAGGTAAATTTATTATATGACATGTAGTTGCTGCGAGTTTGGCTTTGTACTGACTTATAATATGTTAGATCTCTAACAGGACGTTGGCCTTCAAACTTTCCCTGATTTGTTGGTAATGTATCCCTTCGTATGTTACCTGATCAAGTAAGCTTTTCTATGCATTACAACTATAACACTTATAAACATGCTTTCAGACTAAGTTGACAAAATAGAGCTATTGAGACACCCATCAAAGGAGTCGTTCCCCACCTTCTATATTCCGAATTCAATGGTTTTACTAAACTCCCCCTACATCATTCCTTTCCTTTTAGGATTAGCTTAGTTATGCATTAAGTTTAATCAGAAAAGATTTTATAGGTAATGCTAGTGCTATGAATTATCACCACATTGTATTTGTTGCTGGTGGATTGATTTTGGAGGTTTAATGGCCAACAAAAAGATGTTTTAGATGAGAAAGATTCTTTCTTTTTTCCTCCGGACTGGACCTTATTTTGTTTCGCTTAGACATTAGATCGTTATCAATAGGCAGCAGTAACTGGACACGTACTTTTTGTGCATGTCATGTAAAAGAATCTTGAAACATGATATAATGTTGAATAATTTTTTTGCTCTGTGAATTTTCAGGATTTAATTCTTCTCCTACTAACTTCTGGAAGAGATCCAGGTATAATTCCTCGTAATGCTCACCCTCCAGAACCTGAAGGTTACAATGGAAGTGCAGAAGGTGCGCAGACCCCACAGTTACGCTTGCCTCGCATTAAGGAAGTTGAGGTTAATGGCATTACTGTGAAGATTAAGTACTGCGACACATGTATGCTTTATAGACCTCCTCGCTGCTCTCACTGTTCCATATGTAATAACTGTGTTGAACGATTTGATCATCACTGCCCTTGGGTGGGGCAGTGCATTGGACTGGTAAGAATGCAGTCTCTAGTACATGACTTGCTTTTCCACTGCTACTTTGTCAACATCTAATCTCAAGTTAAACATCGCCTTGAGTAGAGAAGCATATTCTGAAAGTTAGCTCACTCAATTTTTCACCTCTCCGATAAAAGTATTCTATTTAAATAAGCAACACTCTGAATTTTCCATTTCAACTTTATACATTTGGTATGCACAATGTAATTCTTGGATGTAAAACAAACTTTGAAATAAATAACGGAATACAATTTTGCTTCCAAATAAATGGATAGAGTGAAGAGTAGTATGAATTATCATCAGTGACATATGCTTGCTGTGGAGTTTGGTTTTAAGGTTGACCTTTGTACCTTGCCAAAATTCCTAGTCATATAACATTTTAGACATCTAACGGGATGCTGGCCACGGAATTTGTAGTGATTTATTGGTTTTATAGTTGGTCTTCGCAGTTTACCAGTAGGCATTCTCTGTATTTGAACTTTGGGAGTATAAATCATACATCAAGGTTTAGTTGATGCATTTGCATAACCTTTATCTAAAAGATGGTTGAAATGCTATTTTTTTCTGCTTGAGATAGCCAATATTAATTGTGATGCTATTGTGTTAAAAAGTTGTGCTACAGCTTTTCTTTTTATGGCATCACCTTCACACCCTGCTATATGGCACACCATTCATTAGTTTTACTGCTTCAATTTCTTAATTATTAGTCTCTGCATCCATCTTCAATTAATTTGTTTTGACTTTCACACTAAGTCATTGATTTAGTTTGATTTCGTTGAATCTCGAAGAAAATACTTGCTAAGAATATTATTTTTTTTTTATCAAATAGTACTACTTGGAAACATTTTCTTTAATCAAAAGGCAAAGAAATCTATACAAAACATGGCTATTAATAACCTGTCTGTTCGACTGCAACAGTCAAACTAAATAATTATTTGTGGACAGAGGGAGTGGAAATCATATTATGCCAGTTTGTGCAATTTTCCCATATGTGCCGATTCCATAGCCTGAGTCAATCTTGCTTCTGGTTAAAAAAATATAACGGTTTTATATTTGATAGCACATAATTGCCAGTACCCTTCGTTAGACATATTTAAGGCTTACTCTGGTCTAGAATCATTAAATTCTTATTAACTCTGCCATTAGGTATATACTTTGTCACGTTGTCTAGAACTGAATCTCCCACCTATCGGCGACAACTATAGACACTATTGTCTTGTTTATGTCTTGTGTTTTATAATTGCAATTTGACTTGTGTTCTGAATCTTTGACAACTTTGCTCGCAGAGGAACTACCGCTTCTTCTTCATGTTTGTCTTCTCGACGACTCTTCTTTGTATATATGTTTTCAGTTTCTGCTGGGTTTACATAAAAAGGATTATGGTTACTGACGAGATATCAATATGGAAAGCAATGGTCAAGACCCCCCCTTCTATTGTTTTAATTATCTACACCTTTATATCAGTTTGGTTTGTTGGTGGTCTTACTGCATTCCATCTGTATCTCATCAGTACAGATCAGGTAAGAGCTGACCTTTATCTTGTCAACCTGGCATAAAAATCTTGCTATTGATTTAGGTTTATAATTATTTAAAATTATCATGCTTTTGTTCTGACTAATGGAAAAGGTTTCCGTGCTGTTTGCAGACTACTTATGAGAATTTTAGATATCGGTATGATCGGCGTGCCAATCCCTACAACAAAGGAGTTGTGCAGAACTTCGTGGAAATATTTTGCAGTCCTGTCCATCCATCTAAGAACAATTTTAGGGCAAAGGTACAAAGGGAACCTGCTTTGCAGGCTCGATCTGTAGGTGGTGGTGGTTTTGTTAGTCCAAATATGTGTAAAGCAGTGGACCACATTGAGATGGGAAGGAAGGCAGTGTGGGGAGACGTCAGTGCTGTCTTGGATCAACACGAAGGGCAATTGAGTGACAATGATGGCTTAAACATTAAGGAACGTGGATTAGGTGAAATGTCCCCAGAGATAAGGAACACTGTAGACGAGGGTGATCGAGCTGGAATACATCCCAGGAGATCCAGTTGGGGAAGGAAAAGTGGAAGCTGGGAAATGTCACCTGAAGTTCTCGCTTTGGCATCTAGAATGGGAGAATCGAACACATCTGGAGGAAGCAGCAGTACTCTCCGACCAACATAGACCAAGTTGTAACGACAGATGGACAATGCTCAAATTCATTTGTTGGTCTTCGTTAACGTCTGTTTAGTGGTGATTTAACTTACCATATTGTTGTGTCATTGGATGTGTCTTGATTGACGAGCGTGGAGTGTTTCTTTGGCCGTATGGCTTTGTATGAGGGTTGCTTTCTTAATCCCAATTGTGTATTGTGTTTGTTGAGTTGGTAAAGTGTTCTAATTGTTTGCTTTGGCCATTCCTTTTGTTATTTTCTTAATCCCACTTGTATATTGCTTCTTGTTGAAGTATAAATTCCAATAATGGGTAATGCTACAAGTACATAACCATTTACATAATGGTTCACATAATTACACGTGGCATGTGATCCTGCCTTTAATTCAACTTTCACACTTACACATCTAAAAGTGGATGATTGCCACATCAACATTATGTGAACCATAATGTAGAAGATTATGTACAACTAGATTAATCCTTTGCCTTTAATTCAACTTTCACATTTACACATTAATAAGTGGATGAGTGCCAAGTCACCATTATGTGAACCACTATGTAGAGGGTTATGTACAACTAGATTATTAATATATGATCCTGTGGAGCATTGGAAAAAGGTCCAAAAAGGGTTATTATATAAATTAATATGCTAATTTGGCCATGAATTATGCTAGATGTATGCTTTACACCTTTGTTCTCCTTACGAGGAAAAAATCTATGTAGTGATATACTAGATGAGCTCAAAATCAATGTCTTTAATGGTTTTTGGCGGAGTGTCAAATATAAAAGTAAAACTAACCGAGTAGCATTTCCCTTGGGCTAGAAAAGTAGACTTTCCATTTCAGCAAGACTCTGTCTCTCTCTCTCTCTTCACTCACGCTCACATTTAACACCTCATTGCTTATGCAGTAAGGAGAGTCAAATCACTTCAAGCGAGTAAGTTCATTCTCTTTTACTTGTTCAAAATATGTTGGTTTATGCAAGTTGTTTGATGGGTTTGGTATGGTTTGTTTAAGGCAGATATGTACAAGAATCAGCTACAAGAACTTGCTCAAAGAAGCTGTTTCAATCTCCCTTCATATGCCTGCATAAGAGAAGGTCCTGATCATGCTCCAAGATTCAAAGGTTCTGTCAATTTCAATGGAGAAGTTTTTGAAAGTCCTACTTACTGCACCACTTTACGGCAGGCCGAGCACGCCGCGGCTGAAGTGGCTCTCAATACCCTCTCTGCCAGAGGTCCTTCAAGATCCTTAACAGCAAGAGTTCTTGTAAGTTCATTTCTGCTGCAAATGGTTAATTTTCTTCTATATACTGCCTGTTCATATGCTCAATCTGTTTCTGTATCTCCTCAGGACGAGACTGGAGTGTATAAGAATCTCCTTCAGGAGACTGCTCACAAAGCTGGACTGGATCTTCCTTTGTACACAACTATTAGAACAGGTCCTGGTCACGTTCCCGTTTTTACTAGTACAGTAGAGCTTGCTGATATGAGTTTTACTGGTGAATCAGCCAAGACAAAGAAGCAAGCTGAGAAGAATGCTGCAATTGCTGCCTGGTCATCTTTGAAAACAAGTATATTTTATATGCCATTTCTTTCTTTTCTTATCAGTTGTTCCATACATCGTTGAATGTTAAAAAACATAGATTCTTCCGTGCAGTGCCAAATTTTGATTCACTGTCTCAGACAAGCATGGAAGTCGAAAACCGGGAAGGGGACGACGAAGATCGAGTAATAGTTGGTAGAGTGCTTTCCAATCTTGGACGCAAAGATGAAATTAGAGCAATCAGGAGAAAGGATCATATTCATCAGAATCAACCCAGAAAAAGAATGCAGAGGACTTTTAGAGATAATGCTACAAACAGTTCTGGTTCTGCACAGCAACAACAATGGAGGTTAATGGATCTGTTTTCAGATTCTAATTTGGAAAAATCAAGGCAAAAACAGAACAGTTTCCTATCTTTGCTCCCTCCTCCACCACCCAGAACAATGTCAAAAATCTTACCCCCAAGTTTGTCCACAAATTGTCAAGCTTTCTATCAAACAGAACCAAAGCCTTCCCCAGCACAAATCATGAAGAATTCACAAGCTGAACTTCAAGAAATGTTAGCCATTGTGGAAAGGGACAAGGATGAATTGCTCAATGGTATATCGAAGTTCATCAAGAAGCCTATTGAAATGAGCAATAATGGGAAGCTCAACATTTCATTGCCTGATCAAATAGCAGATGCTGCAAGAACAACCTATATTAGAACCAGCCTTGTTGGACTAACTCCGTCTAAAATTGCAGTTCCTGCAATCAAAGGTTGGTCTATATTCACAGAATGTCCACAAAGAACAGCTCCAGCAGTTCAAATGAGGTCAGTGATCCCAGTATGTGCAGCACCACCACCAAATCCAGTAATACTGAGACCCTCCTCTTCACCAAGAAACGAATCTGTTTCTGCACAAGTTAGCCCTGCATTTAGCAAGCTAAAGCTATGAAAAGGCATACGAACAGACCCATGTTTTTTAAAGTTTTAATTAACCCTTCTGAATGGATTAATGGCTCTTAATCTTGAGAGCAAAATGCAGTTAACGCATTACTGTAAAGGGAAAAGGGTGCATTAAATGAGTTGTGGAGGAGTGGGTTAGATTGCAGAGAAGGGCAGGTGAGTGGTAGCAATGAGATCATCGAAAGGCCATTTAATTTACCAGTCAGAGAAATTAATGTATACTGTCTTCAACAATTAATGCCGTTTATCTCTCTCATGCGCCTATTGAATATGTAGATGAATTATTAGTATTTAGTATTTACGGCTAGGATTCTTCTCTCTCTTCTTTAATTGTTTCTTGACTAATATATCTCATCCTTCACTTCCCCAAAGTCCAAGGTTCAAATGTTCAGACAAGAACTATGCGAACTAGCCGTTGGGTTGGGGTTGGGTGGGGTGAGGTGGGTAAGTGGTAAGGGCATCTCCAATGAGACACCAAAACACCAAAATTTGGTGGAAAAGTGCTCCAATGTGGCGTCAAATTTTGCAATTTAGTACAACACTATTCACTTTTGCACAATTTTTCCAAAATGGTGTAAAGTCCTCTTTTTTTCATTTGTCAAAAGAATTGTTAGAGGGTATTTATGTCATTTGTGTTATTATTATTATTATTATTATTATTATTATTTGCATTTAAAAGAAATTTTAAATGTTGAAAATAATAATTACTGAATTAATTAAAATAAAAATAAAAAATTTTAAGATATAACAAATACAATTATTTATAGTTAACACAAAATATATTACAACAACCACGTACCTACATTAATCTAGTTTTATTTAAAGAAAATGATACATAAAAATAAGTGCATAGTTTAGTAATCTAGAAGAAAAATAAATAAATAAATAATATTTCGAATAAATAAATTACTAAGAATAAAAAAAGAGAAGAAAATGATAAAACACTATTCATTTGGTATAACTTTTGGTGTAATGGTTTGAGATGAATTTAATTTGGTGCAAAATTTGGTGCAGCACTGGACATCATCTAAGAAGAAGAAATTTGACCTTTTGTGATTCTCATGATTTAAGGTAGATTAATGGGTTTTGACAGGTAACTTTATTCAATCGTGCTAAATGTAAATAATATATTTATATAATAATTTACATATACATAATGTGGTGAGATATGATTATTTTAAAATTTCTTCAATCAAATGAAAAAATAATTTTCCACATTCTTTTTGACACATCATTTATATGTAAATTATTATATAATTATTTATATATAAGTAGCATTATTCTTATTTAATATCAGCCAAATCAATCTCAATGTATACACAACTTTTTCGAAGTGTTCATGGAGTGTGTTCACATCTTTTATGCACATTAATCGTGTAGAGTACAAGATAAATCACCTTGAAGTTGGCATATTTGATGCGAACTTAAAGACAACCCAACGTTTTCAAATTCCAATGGAGTATGTTCACAATCTTTTGTGAGTGTTATAAAGAGTACGAGATAAATCGACCTTGAAGTAAATTGTTCGCGTGATTTACAAAATGTAATAGTGACAAATAATAAAGTGAAATTTTGAGTTTGAGCATCATCTCATAGAGACTAAATTAATGTGGTCAAATTATCCCAAAGAGTAGGGCTGGGTAAAAACTAACCCAAATTGATCGGATTGGGTTGGTTTTTAAGTTCAATAGGGTTGAATTGGGTTAGAAAATTAAATTTGAGGTCGAATTGGGTTGGGTCTTAGGTTATGAATTAAAACTCAATTCAATCCAACCCAACTTGGTGAATTAAAAAATAATGATACGTAAATGGAACACCATAAACTGATCCTGGGTAAGAGTAGTTAGAAAATGATTCCAAACAGACTAAGGAAGGATTCAGAACCTTATTGAAACTTTCCACCACATAACTAATTTAGTGTGATGCAGTAGTCCAGTGAAGGTAAGATTACTAAATAGTGGTCTCTGATCGCTATAAATTAAGGTTTTAAAATATGTAATGCATGACAATGCGTTACGGTTAAACATCAAGCATATGTGTATCTATGCAAAGCATAAATACTAGAATTACTTGGTAATCAATTCTTACAATTAGATTAAACAAACTATAAGTTAAAAAACCATAAATCTTGTCTAGCACTTTATATTCCCATTTAATCTTCTCTTCTTCATCCAATTCATTTTCCATGTCATTCAATGCAAAATCATCTTCATCCGGCTTCCTTAATTTAACTCGAGAATTTCTGTTATTGTATATGGTAAAATATCATTATCAACCTCCTCATCATCATCACAATCGTAATCATCTAATATTGTGCATCACTTGCTAGTAAAACTAGAAAAATATCAAAGAAGGAGGCTCGGGCTCGACGTAGATAATTTGCAACTCTACGAAGAAATTGTTTTGATTTTAATTTTTCTAAACGTTGAAACTCTATTACTTTATATAATTCATGGCTTGGATTATTTGAGCTAATTTGATATTTGGCTCAATTTACTTTTATAAGTTATAAAAATGGATGTTCTTTGTTAGGATAATTTGGAGTTAGTTTTTAAAACAAATGCGTGCTTATTTTGACGTTCAAGTATGCATAAGCAGACAACAAAATTGATTGCATTATCACGCGCATATCCTATATTCTAGGAGTTTCGAAAATGTGTCGAGAATATGTCGGCTTATGCGAAGCATATGTGTGCATTTTACAATACTTTTATAAATACAACACTTCATTGTAGTTAAAAGGTACACAATTCTCAATGTATTTAGCCCTTGTTTGGTTCTTATTATTTTCAAAAAATATTTTTCTATATCTTATTTTCAACCACACATTTGTCAATAAAATAATATTATATGTAAATTCCAAAATTTTCATTATTTTTTAACCACATGTTCTACATCAAAATATTATTCCAAAATGCATTTTGGGAAGAAAAAAAATGGGGCTCAAACAAGCTCTTACTCTTTTGTATGATTAGTATTTTACAAAATTAAGTATATCAGCGTTAGCNTATATATATATATATATATATATATATATCAACATATTTGTATCACCCCCATTGTTCTAAGAAAAATCTTTCAGAAAATGAATACCTACGAGTATAAAGTACTCCAGCAACTTAGAAACTGCTAGTGTGTAATTTGAGCATGTTTGCTAAGCCCAGATATTTATAAATAAATTTACTTGCAAATGAAAATTTCAAAATAGCGCAAAATACTCTAATTCTCATTAAAATAGCACAAATCAACCCATGCTTGATCAATTTAGATTTGGCTGGATTGATTTAATTCTAGATCAAACTATTCACGTTGGATTGGGTTTGAATTGGAAAAAAAAATGACCCAACCCAATGCACACCCAACCCTACCAATGAGACTAAATTAGTAACATCCCACAGAGACTAAATTAATGTGGTCAAATTAGTATCATCCTACATAGACTAAATACTTACTATCTATTTTTATTCAAATCTAGCTTCAATCTAAATTAATGTGGTCAACCTATTAACAAATATACTAAGCTAATCTAAATTAATTTAACTAACATAATTTATGGAAATATTTTGGGATTAAGTGGTTAGAAATTTCACTTTCACTTAAGTTATGCAATATTGATTCAATCCAACATTATTCAGCCTCTTTTTCATGTATATTAACAATTGAAATGATTAATTTTACTTAGCACTTTCTCTTGAGCAAAACTAACCATATTCATATGCCCAAATTTACTATATCACTATGTAAATACATACAAATGTAAAAGCATTCATTCACATGAATTCAATCAAGATTGCATGATTATCTCTTGATCTCTTATAACATCTATGTAACTTATTAACGAAATCGACAAATAAATCTCATCATGGTCTCATTATTATTGTTAAATCAATCAATTGGTGATCAAGCAATCAAATATTAATGAAACACATAATAAACAATTAACACATAATCAAAGTTGCATGAAATCAATTGAATTATTAACCTAAGCTAAACTAATTATTTAGTCAATTATATAATTGAAACTAAATAGCAAAAGGATTAAAAATATCACCAAGCTCAATAAAAGGAATAAAGAAAAGAATTCTAACAATTTGTTGGGTTGTATGCTTTAACAATTTGGCCCAATGATGAAACCCAATTAATATGAAGAGTCCAGCCCAAATTGACTGCAACCCGACTGCCCATTCTTTATATTCCAAAGGCTGAGATGAAGCCAAGTGGAAGGGATGTGATCGTTGGATGTGTCTGATCGTTTGTATTATTGGCTTGACCTTTTCATTTGCCCTTATTCAAAATTATTCTAGGGTTTTATCTTCTCTCGCTCTCTCTGTTCTCTCTCGCTCTCTCTGAAAACCTTTGATTTTCGCATGCAATCTCTAAATTCTAGGTGTTTCTTGGTGAGGTATAGTGTTTGTAAGGTTGTGGTTTAGGCGAATCTATTCTGATTGTGTTCAGTAACTGTTGGTTACTTTGTATAATCGTATTTGTGGTTTCTTGAGAGAAAATCTGGACTGAGGGCATTATTCTTTGTGGATCTGTTGTATTGTGACACTTGCTTCAATTTATTTCTGGTTTCTAGTGGATTGAAGCGATAATCACTTTGGTGAATGCTCAACGGATGATTAGCCCTATTTTGGGTAAACATTCGGGCCTTAGGGCGAAAAATCTCTTGTGTTCAATTTACTTTCTGCAATTACTTGTGTTTTTGGGGCATGTTAATACCAACAGTGGTATTAGAGCATCTCGATCTCCAAAAAAAAATTTATTTGGAATTTTTCCTTGGTGTTCTTGGTGAACGTGACTCTAGATCTTCAAGATCTTTTCTAAAGGGTCTGCTTTCTTTCCTTTGACAAAGAAAGTAAAATATTCCTGGTTTTCACTATTTTACACCATTAAGCTGAGACTTTGGTAACAAGTTTCTAACCCTAAATTATTGTACCTTTCTCGATCTTTATCTCTCTTGGATCTCTTGTTCGAAACCCTCCCAGA